AGACCGTCCTGCAGCTGGACACAGGGGTGCAGGCTGCCCATGATAGCGTGCACAGGTGAGAGGAGGAGGAGGGCCAGAGCCAGTTTTTGCTACTGATTACATTCTACTTTGCCATGAAATTTCAGAAGTGTAAATTCCCAAATATGGAACCTGATCATTTCTATTATTATCTAGACCCAAGCCCATGCTACATTACGACAGAAATCTACATTTGAACAATATTAATTTTAGCTGCCCACATCTGTATTAAATAATATTGGCCTATAGAATGCTGTAAGGTAATCTGAAACCCAGCGATAGGCCTGTCACAATCAAACAATTAAAATAATGTGTGATATATCGCTACAGAAAATATTCTGCAATAATTAATAAGCACAATGAAACTCACATGGACATGGATATGATCTTTATTTTGACTTCTGTAGCACAAATGTTACGAAAAAATATACTCCATTAAGTGCAAATGAAATGTACAAATGCTAAATACTGTGCCAAAAATATAGTGCATAATTTGTTCATTGAAGTTGATAAAGTAATGTGAAAGGCCTACTTAACAAGTTGTGTAGACTTGCAGACCAGTGTTAAGACAAATGCATGATTTATGTCTATTTCATAGTTTTTGTATCTTATCTCACGAAGTTTAACTGCAATCAACAATGTTTTTGGTCCACTTGATTTTTGTAGCAGTTCATATCTGAAAATTCATTGTGATTCATATGTTATGTTGCGTGCATTATGACTTTTGTAATATTCATTTGTAAAAAATACTCCACCCAAGCAAACATTAGCTTTAAAAAGCAAGGCAAACAACGGCCAGTAGTCTGCATAAAGCAAACACCCTCATAGTTAGTGACATTTACACAGTCCACACATTGTAATAATATACTATTCTATGTGGTTTTGAAATGGCAATTAATACAAAAAAATTAAATTAATCCTACTCCTGAAATCATTGTAGTTATGTGACTGTCTTTTTTGAGCAGTGAACATTATTATCACTGTATACCTTTTCATGGCAGAATCACTAAGATGCTGATCGATCAGGATGGTCCCAAGTGGAGGGAGAAGCTCCCAGAGATCCCAGTGGTGCCTCTGTCAGTGCAGCAGCAGCACCGGGACAAGCCCCTGTCTGAACAGCAGGTCCAGGCCAGAGCTGCCCGGGCTGCACAGGAGGAGGGTGAGTACAGGACAACCAAGGCTTAAGTCATGTTATATTCACAATAAAAATTATTATGGGATTTCAAGATCAACCGTCTTTACTATTACGCAGAAATGTCACAGTTTCATAACCACAGTTCTACAAAATAGTACATCTGATCAGGGTTCTTCAGGTAAGAATGAAGATAGACAAAATGTCCGGTGCTGTCTCAGGCAGGTTGCTGATAAATTAATTTTAAAATAGCACAATTATACACTGAATTTTAGACCTGTGTAGGGTTAATCGTGTGTAGGGTGGATCGATCTGAATTGTCCACTTAAAAAGAATGTGAAAGTAGTTTGCTCTGCTGGTAATTGTCCATTGACAATAGAGGTCCATAGAAGTTTGATTAGAATGAAACCATTTGCGAACTCTTAACAGCAGGAGATAATGAATGCTATGAGAATGACTTATATGCTAATTATTTTCAGCACAATAATATTTTGTATTTGTTAAGAAGCCGCTAACACCAAAAGACATTTACAAATTGCCCTTTAAAATAAGAGTCTTAAACTATGACATAACGAAGCTGCCTTCTGATCAGTTGGTGACAGATTGTTGTAAACCTGGAGAGAGCTGCTGTGTGGAAGTCATTAAAAATACAGAGGAAGTCGATCCAGACAGAGAAACTCTGCGGTAATGGAACAATCCTGATCAGGTTTCCCATTGGCTGAGGCTGTCGCACTGACTGCTCCCTGGTCATTATACTACACTCATTTGTATACGATACATGCCATCAGTTTGATATAGTAATAATAATATTGTGTAATTTTATTTTTAAAAACCTTTTGTTTTCATGTCGTAGTTTGCTGTAAAAATACAGTTACATGAAATGCTTTAATTATGATACCGCTTTAGACTTTTTAAAAGTTATTATTTACTTTTCATGAAATTCTTTGTTGTTATTTGCTTAATAAAGTTCTAATAGTCTAGTTGTTGTAGTTGACCGTGTTGGCTCACTTATATTGACAAATACTTCCCTGTAAAAGTCTCTCCCTAAGTGCTAGTGTGCCGAGTTTACAGCCGAGTCATTACCCACAATCCCTTTCTCAGCAGTTTCTCAGTCGACTACAGAAAACATGACTCATCTCTTCTGTCCACTCACTAACTCTGACAGCTTTATTGATCTGCACCAAAACTTTGCATGATGGGAAAACGTCCTCTCACAGATCATATTGGCATACCTCTGTTACTGTAAATTGAATTGACAGCTTGAAATCCATTTTGTCAGGAAGAAATAATTTGTACTAAATTCAATTCCTCTTCAACAGCAAGAATACGAGAAGCCAGATTTACTTTACTGAAGCAAGAAGGCAACGAGCTGGTGAAGAAGGGCAGTTTCCAAGAGGCAGTGGAGAAGTACACGCAGTGTTTGGCCCTCCAACCCAAAGAGTGTGCAGTGTACACTAACAGGTATGCATTTAAAGGGCCCATATCACACAAAATTTACTCTTTTGAGCTTTAAGCCATGTTAGAATGTTGTTACCTCATCAAAAACATACCTGAAGTTTTGTTTTGATTCATTCACACATGATTTCCCTTTGAAAGAAGAAACAAAACACAACTCCAGGTATGTTTGTGATAAGGAAAAGATATACATAGATCAGAAAATCATGTAATAAAAGCTTATATAATATATAATTTAAAGCTTTACACTAACAATGGCTGTTTAAAAATTGTGTCGGCAATCTATTTTCATGTTACTGTTTTTAATGCTAATTTAGACATTGCACTTGAGCTATCTTCCCATCTGTCACTGAATTAATGCCTGTCTATTCAGTTTTTAATGACTATTTTAAATCTAGAAAAAGACAGTAGAGGGCACTATATGCTTACTGTAAATCCCAGCTAAAGCAGCTTCTGGTGTTTTTACCAATCATTAAAATTTTTCAGTCAATAAGATAAACATGATGATAATATATTTTTTGTATATCTATTCTGCTTAAAATGTGTCACATGTCTTCTTAACTGCTTTTAGTACTGCTTTTATTTATTGATTCTATTTTTTTTATTCATTGATTTTATTATTTTTATCTATTGTGTTTATTAGTACCTTTTGTCCAGAACATAATTCCTCTGACTTTTGTGTGTTGACTGTTTTACTTTGGAAATTGTCTTGTTTTAAAAAATGTGCTATCGATTAGATTAACGGTTTTAATATTTACAGGTGCACTATGTCACTTTTTCGTCGGGGGTCCGTCACCTTTCTTTGGATATGTCATTCTTACACAGTATGGCATTAAACAGCTCTACACATTTATTTAATTACAGGTGGTTTTACAGCTCAAAAATATCTAGAAAAACAGGCATTCTGTGAGCGGGGTTGCCTCTCCACAAATCTAGCCTGTAACCTAGTTTGGTTTGGTCTCTATGAAGATAGAAAGGTTTAATATCATACTGTGAAACATTCCAGACAAAGCAATAACATCTCCATGGAGACAAGTAGGTGACAGACCCTCCACCAGAAAAGTTATGCAGTGCACCTTTAAGCAAAAAGCTTGACATCACTGAACAAGCAGATTTCTGTGTTTCCAGAGCCATTTGCTTCCTTAGACTGAACCGTTTTGAAGAGGCCAAACTGGACTGTGACTCTGCGCTGGAGCTGGATCCATCCAATAAGAAAGCATTTTACAGACGGGCCCTGGCGCACAAAGGCCTCAAGGTGAATGCACTGTGTATTTACAGGAAGCTCTCATTATGTACAGAGTTTAAACACTCTGACCTCTGACTTCTGACCTCAGGACTATCTGTCGGCCAGCACAGACCTCCAGGAAGTGCTGCAGCTGGATCCAAATGTGCGAGAGGCCGAGCAGGAGCTGGAGACGGTCACCGGGCTGTTGAGGAAAAGTCTAATGGAAGGCACAGCACAGGTGAGGAGATCTTAAAGGGCCTATTTTACACTATTCTCTGATCTCTGTTATACTGAACAAATCACAAGCACAAGTTGGAGTTGCATATTGTTTCAATCACACACAAACCTTGCATATTTAGTAGGGATGTAACAATAATCGGAATAATGTCATATCATATTGTTAAAGTTCTCTCAATAATATCGTGAATCATCACAATATATCTAATTACAAGTCTCTTTGCTTAAATTTAGAGTTATGGTGCAGCAATAGCTAAAAAAGAGACAGAGGGAACTACATAGACCATGACCCTTTGCTTCATTTCAGTGTGGACTATAAGAAGAAATAACAGTTCTAAGCACTTTTAAGTCTTAGTTCTTTGGGTTAAGTCTTGTCAAGGCGTTTTAAGAGGAAAAAGTAGCATATTAACAGTTTTGTTAGCTTCCACAAAATGTTGCAATAAATATTATACCGTGAGATGTATATTGTGAAAATATTGCATAAAGATCGGAAGAGACTTGGATATTGTTACATCTCTAATCATGAGCCTCCCCACCGTATCGTGAGCTTTCACACAGTATCGCAATAAATATCCTACCGTGAGTTTCATACTGTGACAATATCATATCATGAGACTTGGATATCGTTACTCCCCTAATATTTAGATATTTAGTTATCTTAAACAGAAAACACTCTGTTCCACCTTGTGATGTCATGTGGTAATACAGGAAGTGCTCCACTGTGTTTTTAAACTCCATCATTTGGATTATTACAGCCCTGGAATTGCCAATCTCTACTGAACTAAAAGTTAAAGGAGCTGTTAACTTGAAAACTACCGCTTCATGACAGCACAAAGTGGAACAGAGCATTTTGAGATTTGGAGATGTAGACAGACTAATAATGAAAGATTACGCCGCATGTGTGAATGAAACTAAACACAACTCCAGGTATGTTTTTGAGGAAGTAAGAACATTCTTACATGGTTCTAGTAGAAAACACTATCAGCAACTCTTTTTATTTGTATTATTATTATTATTAAGCAAATTGATATCACTTCGTTAACTATTTTACTACTCCTAACTCTATCACCTTATTCCTAAACTTAATAAACAGAGCAAATACACCTGTGTTTCTCAAAGACTGGTTCGCAAGAGATTTTTGTGGGGCACTTTGTCACAATCTGCATGTAGATTTGCAATATACAAGGCTACATTTAATGTCCAAATAGGAGATTTATGGACATTTTTTATTGCTTGTTCTATTACTGTTTTTTCATTGTTTAAAACCTGAGTAATACTAATTGTTCAGAGAGTAAGTAAGTAAGTAAGTTTTTATTTATTTAGCACTTTTCACAGGCATATGTCACAGAGAGGCTTTACAGAGCAGAGACACAATCACTCAGTCGACAATAAAATATCCTGATTAATGTTCAATAATGGTCAAATCCACCTTTATTTTGTGATTTACGAATAATGTCTGTTGACTTGGGTTGCGGAGGTTTGTGACTTTAAAATATGGGTCCCCAGAAAACACTGAAATAGACCATATAGTGTGCAATTGAAGTAACCAGTAATGTGTAACCTGTAACCAATATTTTTTCTCAATACATCTAGGTTTGACAGTTGTGACAAAGGAATCAAGCATATGGACATTGGTTTAAAAATGGACTTTGCAGATGACTTAACGAGGGACAGACTTTCCGGCTCTGCTCCACCTGCGCTGTGCAAACCTCTCCTACATCTTGGTACTAGTCACAGCACTGGAACCAAAGCCCATTCATCTTCTACCATAACTAGCTATACTGTGCAGGTGAGGCATTCAAGTGCTGCTACAAGGAGAGGAAAGAAGACTGTGCCTTAATAATGAGATTTCTACCACTGCAAGATACTGAACTGCGCTGATGATGCTGCTTTCACAAAACTCACAGTAAAACTAATTCAACTTGATGGTAGCTTCAAATGTAGCTGGGCACAGTAATTTAAGGCTTTTGCTACCTTATTTTTTGAAACATTTTGGATTTTCATATTGGCTTTCTGTTACATAATGATATAATGGAGGAGGTTATAAACAAATAACGCAGTATTTACAACTCTTTTTAAGATACAGAGAGAGTGAGGCACCTGCTTTGCTCTTGTCTTTAAAGGTGCACTGCGTAACTTTCCAGGTTGGGGGTCCACTACTGTGGAGATGCTATTGCTTTGCCTGTAATGTTTCTCATTATAGTATTAAACTTAAGATGCATTTATTAAATTATGGGTGTTTTCATTGCTGAAAACTACCTACAATTAAAAACATGCATTCTGACTGTGAGTGGGGTTGCCTCTTTACAGATCCCACCTGTAAATTGGCCAGGTGGCATCTCCTGCTTGTTTCTATGGTGACTGAAAAATTAATGCAATGGAATATTGGAGGTAAAGCAACAACATCTTCGACTTAAACTTAGACAAATTTTATTGATCCACAAGGGAAACAAGATCTCTACCAGAAAAGTTACACAGTGCCCCTTTAAGGAAATTTTGTACTCACAGTTCAGTTCAAGACAATGGATAACACAGGATCTTCAAAAAATTGCAGTTTCCTAGCTCTCTGGGGAAAGATGGCTGCTAGGTTTATGGCAACACTGTTTGACTCAGGTGTATGACTGAATGTATGTAATATTATTTTGTGTTTTAAAATACTGCTTTTCTATTGGAGTAAATGTACCTGTGGGCTTGTTCTTTCTGTGTAATCAGATGAGTGGAGCCATTATGCCTCAGCTGGAGGTTGTCTGATGCTTCTGTTGTTCACAAATTAGATTTTGAAAGCAACAGATCGGCAAATTAAGCCTTACCGCACACACCACATGGTTTTGGGTCAGCACAGGCTGTGTTCTACTGTAGTTTTATGAGAAATGTTCACAAATCTGCACAATACAAAAGGTTCTTCAAAAGTTACTTCAGTATTTAACAGCTTTGTTCTTAAAGGTCACAACATTTCATTTTAAGATCACAACTTAATCAAATCCCAAACAATGGATGATGCTATGTAATAATGATGCTGTGTAACTGCTTCTCTCCATGTAAATGATGTCTGGAATGTTCCACAGTATCGCATTACACATATTTATCACTACGGAGACAGCAGGCTGTTAGATCTGTGGAGAGGCAAGCCCACTCAGTTTTTAGACCAGTCAAAACCCATGTTGTTGAGTAAATGCAAAATTGATACATTTAATGCTGTAACAAGCAATATCATCTTCATGGAGGCAAGCAGACCGTGGACAGTTCACATTTAATTACAATTATATCAACTTTTCTTTTCTTGCATAATAAATAGTTTGTGTATAATATTTAGCAGATGTGCCACGTTTGTTTCTGAATGTATTGAATCCTGATCATTGTCGACAATGAGATGCTTCCGTGCTTTTAAAATGCTGCAGCCTTTAATGCAACAGCATGTACTGTATGTAAATAGCTTCAGTGCACAATGTAAATAAATGATTCAAACTTAAGATTTTTTTTTCCAGTTGTATATTTAGTATTGAATATGTGCTGGGCTCCACAGAGATCATTTAATGTCTTACTGGAACATTCTAGGCAAACAATAACTCCATAAAAGGATGCACAAAAGGATAGATGATGTAGACCATTGATTGAATCATGAGTATGGTGTATACACAGTGTTGAGAAGTAACTGAATACTTATTTACTGTATTCTGGTACAGCTACTCTTTAATTTGGTGGTATTCAGAACACAGTTATTTTCCTAAAATCAAACAAATCAGTTTTGGTATATGGTATGTAAATTAGGCTTTAAACTGCACAGAAACAGTGAGAAGAAGACACAACTTTGATCTTGTGGTAAGAGCAGGTGTGATTTTTCCATCTCCAGTGAGTGACAGGAAATGCTTTAAAAACAGTGAAGCAAATAGCGCTGTAATCACTTGTGTCTCTACATATAAAAAAAAAAAGTTATTATGATGCAAATTATGTATGTAAATACCCATAATCCACCCAATGGAGGTCAAAATAAATACAAATACAAATTTACACTATCATTCAAATGTAATGTCAGTGTAAAAGTATTCTATGTATTCAGAATACTACAGTACTGGACCATGTATCAGACAAAATACAATACATTTTAATGAAGGCATTCAGTATTCTGTAACATTTTCAAAGTATCCTTCCAATCATTATTTGGAAATCAAAAATGTAAAGTTATTGATGAATTAGGAGTAAAAAAAGGTGGAAGAATCTAAGTACTTCAGTATTGTGTTCTCTTCTTGCGATATACATTGCTAGGGACTGTCTCATTGCAGGAAACCACACGTGTGCTAAAAGTGGTATCATTTCAAACAACATGTGCACACACAGATCACTCAAACACACTGCTTAGGATAAAAAAGGATTTTATTATAGACTCAAAATAGATTTCAAAAGCTTTACACTTTGGCTACTTTCAGGGAAGCATTTTTAGTACAATCCATTCTTCACACGATAGACCCAGAGATGTATTTTGGTAGCTGGATCTATATATTTTTTCCATCGAGTCGTCCGATCTACATTAGGGCAATCTTTGGTCTAAACCGGCTACAGCGGCTGCTTCATTCATAGTGGGAAAATAGACTCTAGTTTTACATATTGTACATTTGATAACATGAGTTTTTCCATTCAAGACACATAATGAGAAAGGCACTGTGAGTCAATATAAAATCATTTGCATCAATTAAATTAGAAAAAGAAAACATAAGAACAACTGAAATACAACAAAAGCACTAATATCAATTTGGATTTTCATAAAAATAGCTACAATAAATCAATGTAAAAGATTCAACATTTTTTGCAGTGTCTTGTGATTGCACAATTGAAGGTTTTAATAAATGTTCCCTTGATTAAAGTTAAATTGTAAAATATTGTACATTTTAGTCTGTAGAAAGCTTATTCCTATTTGAAATACTATACAGTGTTTGATTGCTCTAATTCATAGGAATGCTTTAGGAAAAATAAATTCCCTTTTTATGCAGTTAAAATGGCGCTTTTTTTAAACACAGGTACAACCACACAATTTCTCCAGTGCAGTCTTGCTTTAGAGAATGTTTTTTTTTTCCCGTACAAACTTTAAAAAGGTTGGACGACTTCTGATGAGTACCCATCCCCACCCAATAAACTTTTGACCCCAGCACAGGGCTTCAACATAAAAAACAACTTTCCCAAAATGGAAAATAAACTGAGCGAAAACATATCACAAAATAAACATGCATCACATTTGAACAAAAGCAACAATAATGACTTTTCTCAGAGGATAAGGGTGCTGCGGTATATGTGGTCCCCTTAGCTTTGATTAACATCGTATCCCCCGTGTTGTGATAAAGAACGTTATGATTCAGTATTAGCAGCTCAAAAGGACACAAATCATTCACGTGTTTCACACCTGCGGTGCACATTCAAATGGACCTGCTCAAAGCCTGAAGGTCTTTGTCCTGTCAAACAGAACCTGTTCTTGGACTTACTGCTCCCCTCTCATTTAGCCTCTACACGCACACAGCCACATTCAGGGTCCACATTACACTGTGTCAGAGTAAAATTAGCATGTATGTTATTCTGATATTTTGAAAATTTTCAAAAGGCAAAAATGCAGAAAAATACACACAAAATGACCCCTTTAGAAATGATAAGCCTACAACTGTGTTTGCAGTAGGCGCAACTGTGTGACTTTTTCTAAAATCTCAATGAGAGAAAACATTAAACAAAAAGTTTAATGCATCTTTATTGTGTTAGATATCTGTCTGTATGCAGCGCTTTCTGACTGGAGTCATAGGCGGGTCACTGGAACTACTTCTCTCCTTTATCTTCTCCTGCTCTGGCCCCTGGGGAGGCCCGTCACTCCTGTTCTCCTCTGTGTAAGTGAAGGTGCTGCTGGCGCCCTCTGTGGGCGAGGCTGGAGGTGACGCAGACAAAAGTCTGTGTGCGAAGCTCCCCCGAGGGGAGGGGCACTGCTCGGCCTGGGGCAGAGGTTCTGAGGGTCCTGGGGGGTCACAGCAGCTGAGCTCCGAGGAGAAGTGGCTGCAGTGGGAGTCGGCCACAGAGGGCAGACTCCCGCTCAGAGATGGAGAGTCAAACTCAGAGGAGTTCGTGCTGCGCTGCTCTAGCAGCTGTGCGTCCAACTCTGATCTCACCTCGCACTTTGAGTCTTTGCTGTTGGCTCGTTTCCACATCTTGCCTTTGCCCCGGGGTCCGGCCGAGGTGGGCGGCTCCTTGGACCAGGGCGGTGAGGGGCAGCAGCAGTCTGAAGGGCAGGGACAGGCCCCTCCACTTGCCCCCTTCACAGCAGCAGAGCTACAGCTGGCCTCGTCTAAACTGCTGCTGCCACTGCCACGCCTCTCCTTCTGTTTACACTCCACATCAGCCTGCACCTCCACACTGCTCTCCCTGAAACAACACACACAGAGAATGGTACAAGAGTGTTAATGAGAACATACACACACTTATACCTAAAGCACACCTGTGTGTACATGCATCACTTTTAGCCCCTCCACACTGCATTAGTGTTGTGAAGTGTAATAGATAACAGCGTGGCGGGCAGTACTGACCTCTCCAGGGACATGTAGGCGTTGAGGATGGACCCAGCCATGGCTCTGGTGCTGGCATTGTCGCTAATTGTCCCGAGACTCACTGTGGCTGATTCCCCGCTCAGACTGCAACGCTCCTTTTGGACATCAGCCTGAACCTCCATCCTAAAAATGTGAAGGCAGAGGAGCATTTTTAGGTTAGATTCCTAAGTGTTTCTCTCATGTTTTATTGCATTGCCAGTGTGGATTGTACCTGTTGTAGCAGCTGCCTGACAAACTGCCAGTAATGCTGGTGCCGGCGAGGGCTGTGGTGCTAGCGTTGTCGCTCATGTTGTCACGGTGACTGGAGCTGACTCCACAGCGCTCCATGTGGCTGCCGCTGACACTGAGGCTGAGCCCAGTCAGACCCCCCACACTCGCCCCATCACCCAGGCTTGGGTTATTCAGCCGTGTCTCTGCCACTGACGTGGTGTCTGAGCAAAAGGAGAGGAAAGTGAAATAGGAGAAACTGAATGGATGAAAATGGTATAATCACTTTCTAAGTTAAGGTATGATGCTTTAAGAATACTTTTGGGATTCAGCTGCAACATTTTAAGTACTTTTCCCATCATTCAAAAGATACAATATTTAGTTTTAAATATTTAACATTTTTAATGTTTTTTAAATGTTTAAAATTATTAATTGAGAGAATGAGAATGGCCCCACTTCCTCATCATTCTGACACCCATGGATAGAGGATATACAGAACACAGAATAACATACAGAAGATTTTTTTTTTTTGGCAAACCCTGACCCCCCGAAAAATATGAAACTTAGAAACCATTTTGTTCAACATGAAATATTTAGCAAAGTTGCATAACCATATTCTGTTGCTATGGTTCTTTTTTAGCTGTTCTGAGGTTAGAATTATCCAGTTGGACCAGTGGGCTTCCCTTGTATCCCGTTCTGTATCAGGTCTCACACCTTCTGCTTGTGTAAAGGTCAAAGCTTTGTTTTTTGTGTACATCATCATCATCATCTTTCAAAAACACGACAGTTCAACAGTGGGTTTAAGCCTGAGGCATGTTTGAGTCGACAGAAACAACCTCTGTCTCGTCACACCTCACGCTCGGACGCCTCCTCCTCTGTCCACTTTACTGACACATTGAGTGGCACATGTTGATTTGTCTGGGCATGGCTCAAATACTGTTACATAACCACAAATGGAAAACCCTGACATGGTGTTTTGAACATAGCTGTGAAATATTCTAGAGGAGTCAGACCTGAGAACATCATGGCACCAGATTCATCATTTCTTAGTTTAGCAAAAATGTTGTGTTGACATCTAGCTACAAGAGGTGATAAGTAAAGCACATTTGGCTCCAAGGTATTTCTACACATAAAGAGGGATTTTTTTATTAGCAAATCAAATTGTTATTTTTTTGTACATGTATGGTATTAAAAATCACAATTTTAGTTTGCAGTCCAGATTTCCATTATCAGCCCCATTAGAGCCAACCCAGGTCTCTATAAGATATTCATCAGGGACACAGATAGAAAGCAGGAGAAAACAGATTTGTGTAAGCTTTAGTTTCCAAAATATAAAACAGTTACCTGCTGCTGCTGCACCACTTCCCATGTTGTCATTTTCATCATCAAACTCGATTCGGACACCCTTCCCGTTTCCAGCAGAAACGCCACATCCTCCGCTGCGGCATAAAGAGATCGGGACCACGCCATAGACGTATGCTAGCATGATGGGGACTCCAATACCTGAAAATAAACATAACACAACTCTTCTTATTCACAGATGAATGTGGAAAACTGAAAGAGGATTAGGTAAACGGTAAATGAGAAGTATAAATGTGATGTTCTCTTACCGACGGTGACCGCGGCGACCACAGGTGACACAATGACAGACAGAGTGACACCACCAGCAATGACCAGGTTCCTCTTGTGTTTGGAGATGTCTTTACCCTCGTATCGATTATGAATCTGGACAGAGAAACAAGGGTTATATATACTGGGAGTGTTTTAACGAGAACCCAATATTTAAAAACTGGACCAATTTTAATGTGTATTAATTTTTATTTCTAAGAAAGTGTTCCCACAGCATGAACCAGCCTGCACTCACTGATCAGAGATGACTGGGATGAATATGGCATGTTCATTTTCCCCTGTCAGATTAAGACTGCGTGTCATGAGAGAACACTGTCTTGCCCAATGACATGGGACCCGATGCTCTTATTTTGTATGGACAGTTACATTTTGATTATTGATACTTTGTCTTCATGATCATATTCTTTACTTTATTACAGTAAAACCATGTTCGTGTTTTTAGTTTTCAGTGAGCGCCTCTCACCTTTCTCCCCACATAAACTGGAATGCCAATAATCATGGCTGGAATGGCAATGCCGGCGATTAGCGCAATCCCGACTGGAGCTCCCACCAGCGTCCCGAGCTGCCACAGGATCTTCTTTTTCCTGCTCCATGGCTTCTTTCCCCAAAACGTGCACCCCGACGGACTGCAGGAGGAAAGATTAGGCACAATATTTATAGCTTTTCACTACAGTGCAAACATGCATTTCCTTGTGTGTGCTTTGTGTTGTGGATGGTTGTACCTGAGGTAGTGCAGGTCAGAGATCTCCTTCATGCAGAGCCAGCAGAACTCACATCCACACACAGCACATGTCATGTGATTACAGCTGCCGTCGTTCATCTTGATGATGTAGGCCGCACAGCGAGGGCACGGCTTGATGTCATCTCCTAAACACAGGTTTTATTCACCGTTACTATTCATAGCTCAAATGTAAGACTTTACTTTGATATTACTGTAGTTGTACAAGCCTGTCAACCAGATCTATTGATTATTTAAATCAGTTCCTAATCAAACCTGTGGCTTAAGCCAATTTCATCTAATCACATGTTTATGTAAAATGTAGAAGTTTATCCAATGCCCTATCCTTTAGTGCATTGTTGTTACTGGGAGGACAAAACTGTACAAAATGGCACCAATCAATAAGTCAAATCACTACATCTGGTCAGGATATGAGCTGTTGGGTTGAAAACAGTGGTCACCTGCAGCGCCGCTCTCCTGGCTATGGCTGAGGGAGGAAGACCTGAAGCTGCGGAGCCGTAGGTGTTGCGCCCTTTGCTGGCGGGCCGTGTCACACGTCTGGTTGGGGTGCCACAGTTGTTTGCAGTGGTAACAGAACTCTGTCCCACAGCCATCGCGTCCACAGGTAATTTTAGGACAACTGGCACATCCAAATGCAATCACGGCATAACTGTGGAAGAAGTGCAGACAAAGGTTTAATTTGGAAAGTTTAACTAGGCAAAAGTTCATCACATCCAGACCAAACGTTATTGTAATTAGATGACTTTCTGAAGCATTTTAACTGTGAGCTCTTACACAACTGTTCAATAGTGGCTCAATAGTTTTAGCCTGACTGTCACACTACAGCGCACGGTCTGTTTCTACACTGATCAATTTAAAAGCATTTTTCTAAACTACATGGCGTGGCAGAGGCTCACTTTAGTGTGTAGCACAAACTTAACACAGAAGTAATTATTGCCCCAAAGAAACCAACCATTTCTGAGTCAAAATGAGGCAGTTAAATCTGTCACGCACAATGCTTAAATTTAAAATGCTAAAAATATATACATAATTATACAGTGTGGAGGCTGGAGATATTTATAGTTACTCTATTTAAAAATGCACACAAACTGCAAATGTGTTAAAACAGCCAATTAAACTCCTGTATAAATGTTGTATAAAAGAGAATAGAGCTGAAAAACACTGAATGTACAAATCCAGCAGTAATGGTTGAGCTTGTCACATAAGGAGCGCACATGATCAGCTGATAGAGAGACAGAGACTGAGTTAACTGAGCTACAACCAGATAAGAGTTTAATCTGAAAGGCACGAGAACATCATCTGATCACCAGAGAGCACAAATGCGCACAGAGGCAACATACATCACAACAACTAACATCCAACACTAAAGCCCATGACTGAAACTTTTTAGGGCCCCATGCAAAACATGTCTAATTAAGAAATAATAATTAATAGCAAATACCTAGATATCTATTCGATGAACTGGTATCAAAACTAGATGCTCATTTGAACTAGTATCTATTTGGCCTTTTGTGAAGTTTTAAAATGGACATGTTTTATTATTGCTGTGGTAATGAAATCCCTATCTGGTATGAGTCTATTTCCTAGAAGCTCCAGTTCATGTTTGATTATCCTGACAACACAAACACACTTAAGTTATCAGAAGTTATTTGACCACTGTCAATGAGAGCAGACCTACCAAAACAAAAAAATACACATCAATCCTGAAGCAGAATAGTACTACTTATAAGGGTGTGCAATTAATCAAAATTTGATCGCGATTTCGATTTGTGTATGAAATGATCTCCAAACATAAAACAGAGGTGGATATATAATTTATTTTGGATAAATTTATGTTTTTCTATGCCTTATTTTATGGTCAAAGAATATTTTATTTATTTTATGTTTTATACATCGCAAAACTGCTCTAAGGTTACATATTTGTAGCCTACATGCATTTTCAATATGAGAGTTTTGCGTAAATGATCAAAAGTGTTTGGTTTTTTTTTGAGAGAGAGAAATGCTGAATAAATGCATTGTGTAACAAAAAAATTATCGTGATTTCAATATTGACCAAAATAATCGTGATAATGATTTTTTCCATAATCGAGCACTAAAAAAAATGCCCTTTCTATCATATATTAAAGTGGATGTAGAAATTATTATGGCTGGCCTAAGTGAGAGTTTTAAACCCTTCTAGAAATTTCTGTGGATTTGAGTTTACCTCCTGAGCTTCTGTCTAAAAACTATTCCACAGAAAGGTGCTCATGAACACGGCCATGAGCGAGCGTTTGGGAATCCAGGACAAGAGGCGAGTCGCGTTTATGAAAAGGCCCATTATTCAGAAACAGGGTCAGAAGGGCCGCAGCAACAGGGCCAAGATGGATTCAGGGCTAAAGCCATTATCAGTCACTAAACTATAGGCACAGAGTCTTGTGGGAGTGTTTGGGTTATAAAATGAATGAGGGTGACCCATCGAGTAAATATGACCAGGGCCCCTAGGAGCAAACTGTGGAATTTGTACAGCCTCGAACTCACAGAAGGGCCCCAACACTGTGCTGTCAGAAATATTTTAACCAGAGCAGCCAGAATGACAACTATGTCCAACCATTTAGACATAGTTTCAGCTGTGAGTGTAAGAAGTCCAGTGATGACAAAAGAGTGACATCATTTAATAATAGACAAGACTGCTGACTTTATTTATAACTCTGGCCGTGAGAAAATAGAAGCCAGATTCAGAGTTGCAGATTTGATTGATGAGAAGTGTTTGGGCCTATTTTTGGGATAGGCCTTGAATGCATCACAAAAAGTAATGACACATCAAGTGCATCTCTGGGGAGTAAACATGAGCTTGATTGTGAATCTACTTGGAGTTATTGGACATGAGATAAAACAGAAGGGGATATAATATTGGATTTAACTTCTCAGTGACCCTTTGATTGAATTGTAAATGAAGACTATGCTGCAGCCTGTCTGTTTTTTATTATTTTGTATTTTTGAATTTTGATTTACTTGTTTATTTTCATGTATCTATTTCTTTTTCTGAGCCTCGGGTGGGGTGGCAAAACTAATAAAGTTTGGGGAAAAAAATAATAATAAAAATCGCCAGTGACGCTTCATTTATTGTATTTACTTTACAGATGCCATTATGGATCTCACCGCCAAAAGCACATACAATAGTTAGAGCCACCATGGGGTTACGGTCAGCCTCATGTGTGAAAAGATCTATCCACAGCTACATCTCTTACCCGCAGTCTGGGGCAGGGCACCAGCGGCAGTCGGGCTCAGCCACCAGCCACCGGCGCAGCATGAACTCCTCGTACTTCTCCATAAGGGCGCGGTCTCCCAGGATCATCTGGATGTCGTGGGGGTTGAATCGCTCAGAACACTCGGGGCAGCTGATGTTGACTCGGGATTCTGAGATCTCGATGCGGAGGTACTGCCGTAAACAGTCGGCGCAGGAGCGGTGATGGCACGTCATGATGTCTGGAAACCGATCCCGAGAGTGGCGTAGTAAGCACAGCGGACATTCGAGGTGGTCGGATGAAGAGCCTGATACAGAGGAGGTGGAGGCAAGGCCCAAAGTGGAGTGGGCAGAGGTCTTGTCCTGGAAGGCCTCTGATTGGACGCTCTCTTGTCCCGGGACACCTTCAGAAGATTGAGTCTTTGACCTGCGTTTGGTGTCTGGTCGGCAGCGACGCCCAAATATCGACTGCAGAGAAAAGCGGCGTTTCTTGGGTGTCTTTCGGACAGACAGGCTGACGGAGGAGGCGGCCGAGTGCAAGTCCCGCTCTGAGCCTGTGCTGCCATGGTGGTGCTGCTGAGGGCTGCTCATCTCGAACAGGGGGCACACTCCGTGACTGTCCCACCAAGGACAGGAGACACAAGGGAGGGACAGGAGGCACTGATAAGAGTTAGGACATCGCAGCACTTTCCTGTCTCAGAAACAGGATGATCTGTTGAAGGCAAAAGGAGACATTGTATTAAACATTATAAACTGCACTATTACAATTTACATGCATGTTACTTCTCCATAAAGGTCAACCTAGTACTTAGACTGTGCATTTGGAAATTCAAATTAGCGTCAAGCCATACACCTATTTAATACAAAGTCAAGACTAGGTTTTCTATACTGCCACAAAAACTATTTCACACAGACTGCAAAAGAGCTTCTGGTTAAAACTGCTCCTCCTGATCCTCGATTTCAGAGACTTACTTTATAGATCATCATCAAAGACATGATGTGTTTTACCATGCAGCCATCCACTTTGTCACAGGTGTTTTATTTATATTACTTCCTGGTGAATTGGCCCTCTCTCCACACCCGCAGCCAAACACATTGGTTATTGTTCATTTACAAGTCTTTTATCGGTAAAACCCCATCCTACCTCAGCTCACAACTACAATTCACAGCTCCAGCCAGAAGCTCCAGCAGCTACATTAACCTGGTCATTCCTAAAACTGCAGCTTTTGGCCACTCCTCATTTCAATTCTTTGCAGCAAGTGACTGGAACCACCTACAACAGACTTTAAAGCTTTGTTTGCTTTTACGTCTGGCTACTTTTAACACTTTTATATGTTTAATCCGCAAATATTTCACTGTGTCATATTACGATTCACTCTTTCATATTATGACTGATGTGTGAATGTATTCTGGTTGTGCATTTTTCTGCCAGGTCGTCACTGCAAATGAGCTGGTGTTCTCAGTTAACTAAAACACTGAATAAATAAAATAAATAAAAGTTTCAATCTTAGTTCCAAGAGGGCACAAACGGTCTTTGTTCTAGAGCTTAATTACATTTGGTAACATGATCTTATAATGACAGAGGCGCCATGTGAGATCTGCAAACATGTTCTGTTAGTTGTTTAAATAACCCATATTTGTTGATCATTATTAAAGGTTATTGCTCAGTTGCAACATGACGTCATCTAAGTGCATAAATCAAATGTTAAGATTTTTGGTACAATACAAAATAAAGTGCATTGTTAAGTGCACAGGGAGTGACCTTTACATTCTTTCAGTATTTTATGTTGCTTTTTGCAATCTTTTTTTCACAAGATTGAACAAGCAATGTTTTGATAAACTAGACTTGAAAAACGAGCCAAGAGTGACAAGTTGAATTCCTGTAATTTAAATGTTCCGTAGTAATTCTAAAGCACTGGTTTCCTACAGCACAGAGGAGTTTATTGGCAGGCGGAGGGCATTTTTCTGTGTGCGTGAGCGTGTCAGTGTGTTGGAGCGCATTTCGGTGGAGCATGGACAAACCCAAACAAAGCCCAGAGTTCCCTGAACACACATATTTTCAGAATCAGATGTATCCACAGCTGCGTCAATGTGCCACACCTCCACCCAAACTTCAACATGATCTTAAGATTTACAGAGACACTGCACTGATCCTGTCCAAACTCACATACAGCTCTGACCAGGCACAATGCTGGACTGTCCCTGACCACAGCAGACCAGGAACTTTCTAGTCTTGGCACAATGTCCAATGGCCATTTCAATCTTGGTCAAACCACTGTACATTGTACATTCTCGCTGTATTATAAAACCGATCACAAGTCCTGCCAAGAAGAGTATGTTTTCATGACACCCTATTTCAAACTACAGTTACCACATTGATGGCAAATGATAAGCAACTGCTTCCAAAAATAGACTAAACATTGCCACTGTTACTTAAGGAAAAAGCAACTTAAAGTGAAATTACCAATTAATTTAAGTGAATGTAAATGCAAATGCCAGAGTATACCTGGAGTCAGATCATGTTTGCTTCACACCAGCTGAATAAAACACAAATACAGAGCGCAGTGAGATTATGGTCAGACATAATAGGCCTTGTATTCACCATCCAACAACAAGCCTTGATTTCCCAGGGCTCTCATGCACAGAAAACTGCTTGTGTTTGTCTTTTGGGATTAATTTCAGGAAAACTCCACTGGGAGCCTGATGCTGACTTGTTAACAAACCTCGATTCAAAAGTAGTCTGCACACCTAGGCTGTGGTTTCTCCAAGATCATCAACTTTTACTACAGCGTTTTAGTGTCCGGGGAAAGCCAAATGCCATGTCTCCCCTCTATAAAAAACACATATGGGTTTAAAGTGTGAACCAAAACAGATGGGGTGTGGGCCAAACTGTTATACTATGGGGAAAGATGACCTTAACAACGAAGCACAACATGGATAAATAGTGGAATTTCCAAGACATTTTGATGATTTTGAAGTATTCTGAAGCATGGAGTGTAATGAGACAAAGATGTTTTCAATTAACTGACTGTACACTGCTCCAGTGAACAAAAATACACAGCAATGGGACACAGGAGACAGGAGGAAGAGGAGACACCAGCACCGGCTAACGAATAAATCATTCACTACTAATGACTTCTCAGGACAACACGGAAGAAAGGTTAAGGAGAGGTCTGATTGGCCAAAGCATTTCTAAAAGAGTTTAGTCAGCAAACCGCAATAAAAGTGCAATGTGAACATGTGTATTGTGTGCATGTTCTGTTTATTGAGCTCACTTTCTTTTTGTTGTCTTTTGTTGACTAAGATAATGTGAGATAAGACTGTGTAGCTAAAAGGGTCATTTTGTTTTATGTTCTGTTGAATATTAACTCACAATGAGGCACACTGCCAATGTTCCTATTAAGCTTTGGGTTTATGCAGGGCCCCAATGATCATTTCATGAACAGTTTAGACTAGATAAGATAGACTAGGCTTTATTGGTTTATTGGGAAAATTAAACAACATTATTTTGTTATTAAAACAATATCCGTTATGTTATTTTCACTATGCACTATTTCACTATGCTGCATTTTTGTTAAACTTAGGGTATGTTTCAGGCATTTTTCTTTCTAAAAACCTTGAAAAAAGCAAAAACATTTTTGAAGCTGAAATTATGCATTTCAGCTCATATGTAAATCCAAGTGACAGAGCTGATATAAAATGATACAAGACGACTTGATATGACACACTCCAACTAGGACTCGTTTCTCGTCCCCTGGAAACAAAATTAAAACAACAACACTGCCTGGTGTGCTGGATTGAACTTTTGCACCACTTTCAGTCAGTATCCTAAGATCGTATTCAACAGGATGAGGGCTTCGGCTGCTAATGATGATGTAGTATTGGGTCAACTGGAGTCATGTGAGTGAGAGGAAAGTTTAACAAGGCAGCACCGCACAGCCACAAAGAGAAAGGAACATCCAGGCGTGCTCAGAGTGGAAAAGCCTGTCTGTGCTGTGAGGACTGGGGCCAGTGGATACAGTGATGAATGTATTCAAGTGTACAACTCAGGGCATTCACTGGATGCTGTCCCAGATCTTCAAACAACCTGGGGCCAGGAAGAAGCGCAATAAAGACTGGCGAGCGTTCATAGGCTAGTCAAACCAAAGCTTTTATGGACATCTCAAAACAGCTGAACCAAATTCAAAACCATTCATTTCCTGTGAGAGAGAATTTATGCTTTATGGAGTCAATATGATTCACTGGATTCTTTTTATTTATGAAGTCTGTGTCCAAGAAATGACTGGAACAAGACTATCATTTACATTTCTGAAGGCAATAAGCAACTCAGTTTAAGGTCCCGGGCCACTAATTGGGAGACTTTTTTTTATGTTGATTTAAATACATAGTTATAAGTAAGAGGTTAGTGAAGTTCTGGATAAGTAATTGTGGCCTACCATGATTTGTGTGAAAATAATGGAGGAAACCGTGTCATTCAGGGTTAAAGTAGTAATGGTTTTACAAGTGCAGCCCTCACTTGACCACTGAGCTACAATGTGAAAAAACTCAAGTAGCCTTCATATAATTACAGATCAGCAAATGTGGGAACTCAGTTCAACTCTGTACAATGCCTTGTGAGTATCAGAATTACCATTATGTACAATGGTTTTTGAGGCATCAGGTGATTTTAAGGTCAGCATGTAAATATTAGCCAACCAAGATAATGCACCAACTCATAAAGGGGTCAGTTACTGCTGTGTTTTCCAAGTAATGCAGTGCAGGAGATGAACTCAAAACCTAAAAAACAAACAAAACAAAAAAAGTTCAATTGCATTTAGTCTCTTGTTAAGATTAGTTTCCAACCCTAAAAATATCAAAGCATTTTTCTCATGCGAGTCCTCATCACGTAGTTGAAATTTCCGCTGCATTCCAGTTGGACGTCACACTTCCTGGTCATAACAATACAACTCATGGAAAGAGCCACTAAAATGGTAATTGTTGGGATGTCCCATGCTTGTCAGGTCTGGGAGCCAAAGGAGCTCTATATAAGCTTCTATAGTGTAACAGTGAGGACACTGAACCGAGTGAATTCCACTGAGGGCACTTTCAAAACTATTTACTAAACACTGGCCATGCAAATCTGCCATTGGGATGTCCTTGTGATTTGGGCATAATTAACCGCCTTTATTGCTAGTTGCAAATTGATCTAGGTAGCGAAATGCAGTGCAATTTGATAGGAAACACGGTGCAAACTCTGACCTGGTTTATACAAATTCAATAATCTCTGTGTCAATCCTGAGTCCTGACCTTTTATACTTAATTGTTGGTGTTTTGTTTTAGACCTGGTTTCATCATGGTTGTCCTGGTTTCACTTTGTCAAGATAAAATCAGAAATACCAAATAAAATGATCCGCCCTGTTTCACTACAAGATTGCAGGACAGCAGTGTGACAATATTCAGGTGAAATTACAGTCAATGAGAACTATCTACTCAAATACAAACTAATAAAATTAAATATTTTGATAAATGGTGAATGCTTTGTCAACAGAGCCACAGAACTACAGTAAGACAGAGAGCAGATGGTGTGTGTACAATGGGAAAAGACCCAATTGTTCTTGTTCCGCTCTGAACAGGGAAATGAACAGCAATAGCTATTCATAATTTACCAGCAGTGTTCGACTGCCAGGATTAATCAAAGCCAAACATTTGTCAGAGTGGAGCTCATTCTTCAATAGTAAAAATAATATGGACCAAACTGACTAACCTAATAATACAGAATGAATGTTGAAGATGTATTTTCAGATAGATTTTATTTGTTAAATAAGAGGGTCCTACAGTGCAATACCAAATATTTAAAAGGTGATCAAAGTAAAGAAAAACACAGTGGTTTTGTTAATCTGTTGACTGAGAGGAGATTAAAAAATACCTGCATTTAGTGAAAAGGTCTAGGCTACTTATAATCATAGGTGAAGACAAAAATACGAAAAAATTGTATTATTAGTGTGGGTTTTGGTGCTGGTTAAATTTCTTGGTTTAATTTTGTTGGATCTCAAGTGTGCAAACGCCCATCTCTAACATTTTGGTATCAGTCATCCTTGTAATATGTTGTTGTAACCTCAACTTCCTTCCTGCAAGTTTCTTATCTAAGAAACACTCCTTTGGGTTTACAGTCTACACGTGGTAACCCCCAACCCCATGAACAACACCATTAAATTTTAAGCCTTTCATAAAGACCCATTTCAGGCGAAGAATAACTCTATTAAGTGAAGAACTAAAAGCATTAAGGTTACATTTGGACAACAGAGGCAACTGTAACTAAATTGACAAGATCAACATAAAGACCTCTATTGATTGGTTTAACTCTGATAAAAAGGCAAATATCTTATCCATTCAGTCAATGTTTACATTTCCACAACAATGAACCCATTCTCCATGGAAACACGTCCCAACATCTCGCCTTTTATAAAGCGAAAACATCTTAAAACACAAAGACTTTACATTGCAAATAAATACAAAATACTTGCATGATCAATTACAGCTGATAACAAGTAGCTCAGGTTAATGTTATAACTAATATTAAGCATAAGCAGCCAGATTATATCAACGAACAAGGCTTAAATAAATCGTTACTAAAACATACTTCGATCTTAAACAATTATTTTTCTATTGTATTAATGTAATTTAATAAGATGTTTATTGAACTGACGGAAAATTGTGTTGAAACTGAGCAGAGTAACAAACGGTTTTGGTGATCGAGGATTTTACAGCTGACTACTCCACGTTAGCTTCCATGCTAATAAGAACAGACTGCGCTAACGGCAGGCTTTATAAACCTACACGGTCACTGGGAGTCTAAATGGCGTTATGGTGAAAGTATATGTGCTGTAGCCATCATAGATATACTTTATTTACATCACAGACGTTTTATTTTCGTATCACAGCGTTCTGATCACGACAGCTGAGAACCTACGATAAGAGCCAATGCTAAAAACTGTTAGCTCCTAGGCACATCCGAAAGGGAAGTTATGTTGCGATAAAAAAAAACCTCCATTATCATGACCTACATGTTTAATCACGGAGCATAAAATGTGAAAAGTTAATTTGTATTTACCTTCTAGTGTACCGGGCTTCTTTTCAGACGTGATTCGATTCAGTGGTAGTTTCACAGCGGGAAAGAAAAAACTTCGCTGTTGCTGCTTCAGTGCATTCCCCGAGTGACTCCGAGTGACTCCGAGTCCGAGCCCCGAGTCCCGAGCCAAACAATTCTTCTTCTTCTTGTGAGGTTCATGGACGTTTTATTGGCGGTTGGCAAACAACTACTGGTGCATTACTGCCATCAACTGATAAGGAGAGTGAACTGAAATGCGACTTCGTAATAATCAAAAACAAAACAAAAATAAATATTACTAAAAACAACCGTGATCAAATGATAACTAAAGCAAAAATAATAAATCAAACCCTGTTGATCAAATTAATATCCCTGAGAAACTTAAAATAAATAAAAACTAAAAACTTTGAAACTATTATTCCCTGGGTGCTGTTGTAATTATTCTACCAAATCAAATTTCAATTTTAGGTCTTCAATTCCTTTCTTCATTTTATTTATTTCCCTTGCATATTTCCTACATTCCATAAATACATGTTCTATTGTTTCTGGTTGTCCACAGTCGTCACGCTGCCCAGTATTATGTGTTCCTATTTTATGTAGAGAATTGTTTAATCTTGAGTGTCCAAATCTTAACCTCGAAATTAGTATTTCCATTTTTCTTTTTCCCATTGAACTGCTCATTGCTCCCACTTTTTTCAGAATTTTTTGGTACCAACAACCTCCCCTCTCAATATTCCATTCTTTTTGCCTTTTTCCTATATCTTCTGTTTAATTATAGATTTTACCTCCGTTTTACTTAATTTCACTTCAATATCCACATTGGATTTCTGGCTAGATTTCTTTGCTTGTTAATCTGCTGCTTCATTTCCTTTGACTCCTATGTGTGTCGGGACCCATAAAAACACCACCCCCAATCCCATTCTCACCACTCTATACAGTGCTTGTTTTAGTTCTATAAGAACATCTGGCGTATGGGTCTCTGAATGTCCACTTCACAAACTTGCTATTACTGCACTAGAGTCTGTGCACACAATTGTTCGTAGGGGTCTGTGCTCTTCCACCCATTCAACTGCTAAAAGAATTGCCAACATTCCCCCCTTGGATACAGATAAGTGATCATTAAGCCTTTTCCCCACTTTAACATTAAATTCTGGCACAACAAAAGGCACTCATAGTTTTCCTTTTATTTATTTATTTTTTTTGGCATCTGTGTATATTTGTACATATTCAAAGTATCTGTCAATATGTAATTGAACTGTATGTAATTGAACTTCAGTATTTTCTTTATCTTTGTGCTTCCTCTCCAACAAGGAATCACTTGACAGTAGGTATGGTTGATCGTAGGACATTCTCCCAATCTCCTTCTGGATCATCCACATGCTGGACATGTACTGGCTTAAGCAGGGGGACACGTCTGGCACTGCAGGATTTGAGTCTCTGGCGGAATAGTGTGTTACTGATGTAGTCTTTGTTACT